TGGTAGGTTAGGACCCTGAAATGGGATAGATGTAGTAGGTTAGGGCAGACATAGTGGGGTAGATTTAGGGGAGTTGGTAGAATAGTGGGAGTATTGTATTGGTAGGTTTAGGACTCAGCATAGTGGGAGTAGATGTATTGGTAGGTTAGGACTCAGACATAGTGGGATGATGTATTGGTAGGTAGGACTTAGGTGGCGTAGATTATTGGTAGGTTGGACCGTAGTAGTGGGAGTAGATGTATGGAGGTTAGGTAGAATAGTGGGAGTAGATGTATTGGTAGTTAGGACCTGACATAGTGGGAGTAGATGTATTGGTAGGTAGGGACTCAGACATAGGGGAGTAGATGTTGGTAGGTTAGGACCCGTAGACATAGTGGGAGTAGATGTATTGGTAGGTTAGGACTCGATAGTGGGAGTAGTGTATTGGTAGGTTAGGCCCTAGACATAGGGAGTGATTATTGGTAGGTTAGGACTCAGACTAGTGGGTAGATGTATTGGTAGGTTTAGGCCAGACATAGTGGGAGTAGATGTATTGGTAGGTTAGGACCTGACATAGTGGGAGTAGATGTATTGGTAGTTAGGACTCAACATAGTGGGAGTAGATTTTGGTAGGTTAGGACTCAACATAGTGGGAGTAGATGTATTGGTAGGTTAGGACTCAGAATATGGGAGATGTATTGGTAGGTTTGACCCGTAATAGTGGGAGTAGATGTATTGGTAGGTTAGGACTCAGACTAGTGGGATGTTTGGTAGGTTAGGACTCTAGATAGTGGAGTAGATGTATGGTAGGTTAGGACCTAGACATAGTGGGGAGTAGATTGGTAGTAGGATGTGTAGGGTGTAGATATGGTAGGTAGGACGTAGTAGGAGTAGATTAGGTGGTTAGGACTCCGACTAGTGGGAGTAGATGTATTGGTAGGTTAGGACTCTAATAGTGGGAGTATGTATGGTAGGTTAGGACCGACATAGTGGAGTAGATGTATTGGTAGGTAGGACCAACATAGTGGGAGTAGATGTATTGGTAGGTTAAGGAAGGGGTGATGTATGTGGTAGATTATGGTAGTTAGGACTCAGACTATAGTGGGAGTAGATGTTTGGTAGGTTAGGACTAGACATAGTGGGAGTAGATGTAATGGTAGGTTAGGACCGTAGAAAATTGGGGTAGATTATTGGTAGGTTAGGACCCGTAGACATAGTGGAGTAGATGTATTGGTAGGTTAGGACTCAGACATAGTGGGAGTAATGTATTGGTAGGTTAGGACTCAACATGGGAGTAGTGTATTGGTAGGTTAGGACCCGTAGACATAGTGGGTAGGTAGATGTATTGGTAGGTTAGGACCAGTAGGAGTAGTGGTGGTGGTGTATGGGAGTGTATTGGTAGTTAGGACCCGTAGACATAGTGGGAGTAGATGTATTGGTAGGTTAGGACTCTAGTATGGGGAGTAGATGTATGGTGGTTGAGGTTAGGACGATAGTGGGAGTAGATGTATTGGTAGGTTAGGACCCGTAGACAGTGGGAGTAGATGTATTGGTAGGTTAGGACTCAGACATAGTGGGATAGATGTATTGGTAGGTTAGGACCCGTACATAGGGGAGTATGTATTGGTAGGTTAGGACCCGTAGACATAGTGGGAGTAGTGTTTGGTAGGTTAGGACTCGACATAGTGGGAGTAGATGTATTGGTAGTTGGACCCGGACATGTGGGAGTAGTGTATTGGTTGTTATACGAATATGGGAGTAGATGTGTTGGTAGGTTTACCCTCAGACATTGGGAGTAGATGTATTGGTAGGTTAGGACCAAAGTTGGGTAGTATGTATTGGTAGGTTAGGACTCGACATGGGAGTAGTTGTATTGAGTAGGACAAAATTGGGATAGATGTATTGGTAGGTTAGGCCTCTACTGTGAGTTGTATTGGTAGGTTAGGACTCAGACATATGGGTAGATGTATTGGTAGGTTAGGACTCAGCAATGTGGAGATTATTTGGTAGGTTAGACCTAGACATAGTGGGAGTAGATGTTTGGTGGGTTAGGACTAACATAGTGGGGAGTGTGTTGGTAGTTGGGTAGATGGGGGGATAAAATTGGGAAGTTAGGTTTGGCCCAGAAAGTGGGAGTAATTTTTGGTTAGGCCCAGACATAGTGGGATTTAAATTGGAGGTTAGGACTCAGACTAGTGGTAGTGTTTGGTATTTGGAAAACCCGGAAAATGTGGGTAGGTATTGTAGGTTGGGCCGAGGGGAATGATGGGGTTGCTAGAAGGGGAAAGATTATTGGTGTAGGATAAATAGTGGGAGTAAGTTTGGTATGTGGTAGGACTGAAGGTAGAGTTTGGTAGGTTGGCTCAAAAGGGAGAATATGGTAGGTTGGACCCGACATATGGGAGTAGATGTATTGGTAGGTTAGGAAAAATAGGGAGTTAAGAAGGGGGAAGATGATTGGAGTTGGCCCTTAGACATGTGGGAAGTGTATTGGTGGTTAGGACTCAAATAGTGGGAGTATTGTTTGGTAGGTTGGACCGACTAGGGGAGTAGATATTGGTTAGCAGACAGGGGGAGTAGATTTGGTGGGTTAGACCGGAACATAGGGGAGTAGATTGTATTGGTTTTGGGGATTAGGAATGGGTGGGAGAGTTTGGTAGGTTAGGACTAAAAATAGGGGGAGTAGATTGTATTGGAGGTTAGGACTAGAATGTTGGGAGTAGAGTTTGGAGTTAGACTGGTGGGATAGATTTTGGGGTGATAAATTGGGAGTAGATGTATTGGTAAGGATTAGTGGTAGGGTGGTTAGGACCAGACATGTGGGAGTGTTAGTAGGTAGTAAAAAATTGGGATAGGGTATTGGGGGTTTAACCCAGAAAAGGGGGGGTAAATTTTGGTGGTGGGAATGGGGGGGGGGGATTGGAGTTCCCCCCTTGGGGTAATTTTGGTTTTGGGGGTTGGGGTTTTTAAAGGGAGGGGCCCGGGGGGGAAAAGAAATTGGAGGTAAAAAAGGTGGGGAAAATTTTTTTTGGGGAAAAAAAAAAGGGGGGAGAAGGGGGTTTGGTTTAAACCCCAAAAGGGATAATGAGTTTAGGACCAAAATAGGGGGGATTAGGGGAAGGGGCCCCCAAAGGGGGGGGAAATAGGTTTTGGCCCGTAGGGGGAATTTTTGGGGGTTTGGGGGAAAAAAAAAAATTGGGGGATTATTGGGGGGGTTAGGCCCCAGACATGGGGTAGATGTATTGGTGGTTAGGACCAGACTAGTGGGAGAAGATTTTTATTAGGAAAAAATATGGGAAAGGGTGGGTTTACCTAAGTGGGGGGTTAATTATTGGGGAACCCAAAAAAAAAAGGGTATTTTTTGGTAGGACCCAAAAGGGGGAATTTTGGGGGGAACCCTAAAAGGGGGGTTTTTGGGGGGTTTTTAAACCCAAAAGTGGGAATTTTGGTTGGGACCAACATAGGGGTAGATGTTTTTTTTTGGGGGAGAGAATGGGGGGGAATTTTGGGGGTTTTAAAATAGGGGGGGGGTTTATTGGTTGGGCCCAAAATTGGGAGTAGATGTATTGGTAGGTTGGACAAAAAATTGGGAGAAATGTTTGGTAGGTTGGACCGCCCTTTGGGAGTAGATGTATTGGTAGGTTGGGCCAGACATAGTGGGATAGATTATTGGGGTTAGGACTAGGGGGGTAATTATTGGTGGGTTGGACCAGACGGGAGAGATTATTGGTAGTTGGCCCCGGGAAAGTAAAATTTTGTAAGGGGGGCCCCCTTGAAGGGGGTGTTTTGGTGGAGGGGGATATTTTGGGGGTTATTGGGGGGTTTGATGGGGGGAGAATTTTGGGGGGGAAAAAGGGGGTGGGGTTGGTTTTGGGGGGAAAGGGGGGATGTGTATTTTGGTTTTAAACCAAATGGGAAAAATTTTTGGTGAAAAATGGATAGATGTTTGGGTTGGGCCCCCGGACAAGGGGAGTAATTATTGGGGTTGGCCCCCAAATTGGGGAGTTTTGGGGGGGAACCAGACTAGTGGGAGATGTTTTGGTAGGTTAAAAATAGGGGGAGTAGATTTTTGGTGGGTTAGGAACTTGGGGGGGTTTTTGGTAGTTTTTTAAAGGGGGGGAGAAGGATTGTATTTTTTTTGGGACCAATGGGGGTAAGTATTGGTAGGTTAGGACCTGTAGACATAGTGGGAGTAGATATATTGGTAGGTTAGGACTCATACATAGTGGGAGTAGATGTATTGGTAGGTTAGGACCCGTAGACATAGTGGGAGTAGATGTATTGGTAGGTTAGGACTCAGACATAGTGGGAGTAGATGTATTGGTAGGTTAGGACTCAGACATAGTGGGAGTAGATGTATTGGTAGGTTAGGACTCAGACATAGTGGGAGTAGATGTATTGGTAGGTTAGGACTCAGACATAGTGGGAGTAGATGTATTGGTAGGTTAGGACTCAGACATAGTGGGAGTAGATGTATTGGTAGGTTAGGACTCAGACATAGTGGGAGTAGATGTATTGGTAGGTTAGGACTCAGACATAGTGGGAGTAGATGTATTGGTAGGTTAGGACCGTAGACATAGTGGGAGTAGATGTAATAGTTAGGTTAGGACTCAGACATAGTGGGAGTAGATGTATTGGTAGGTTAGGACTCAGACATAGTGGGAGTAGATGTATTGGTAGGTTAGGACTCAGACATAGTGGGAGTAGATGTATTGGTAGGTTAGGACCCGTAGACATAGTGGGAGTAGATGTATTGGTAGGTTAGGACTCAGACATAGTGGGAGTAGATGTATTGGTAGGTTAGGACTCAGACATAGTGGGAGTAGATGTATTGGTAGGTTAGGACCCTAGACATATGTGGGAGTAGATGTATTGGTATGTTATGGACCCGTAGACATAGTGGTAGTAGATAGTATTGGTAGGTTAGGACTCAGACATAGTGGGAGTAGATGTTTTGGTAGGTAAGGACTCAGACATAGTGGGAGTAGATGTATTATTGCTTTGTTAACAGTCCTCACCGTGATCTGCACTGCGAGCCGCCCCTCTCCTGCATCCTGAACGTCGATGGTGAACTCGACAGGCAGAGAGGCGGGCACTCCGGTGGTGTTGAGACCGGGGCCGCTGGCACGCACCTTACTGGCATCATGGGTAGGCAACACCTTCACCTTGTAGGGACTGGGGGGGGGGGCAATATCAGAACTGTGTTTTTGTGTGAAGCTGATGTCCCATTTTGCCTGTGTGTGTGTGTGTGTTGCCTGTGTGTGTGTGTTGCCTGTGTGTGTGTGTGTGTTGCCTGTGTATGTGTGTTGCATGTGTGTGTGTGTTGCCTGTGTTTGTGTTGCCTGTGTTTGTGTGTGTGTGTTGCCTGTGTGTGTGTGTTGCATGTGTGTGTGTGTTGCCTGTGTTTGTGTTGCCTGTGTTTGTGTGTGTGTTTGTGTGTGTGTGTTGCATGTGTGTGTGTTGCCTGTGTGTGTGTGTGTGTGTGTGTGTGTGTTGCCTGTGTGTGTGTGTGTGTGTGTGTGTGTGTGTGTGTGTGTGTTGCCTGTGTGTGTGTGTGTTGCCTGTGTGTGTGTGTTGCATGTGTGAGTGTGTTGCATGTGTTTGTGTGTGTGTGTGTGTGTTGCCTGTGTGTGTGTGTTGCCTGTGTGTGTGTGTTGCCTGTGTGTGTTGCATGTGTGTGTGTGTGTTGCATGTGTGTGTTTGTGTTGCCTGTGTGTGTGTGTTACCTGTGTGGGATGTCTTGGTCAGCGTACAGTACGTTGATAGAGTAAGGTCCCTCTCTGGTGGGGATGTAGTTCACTGTGTGAGTCTGGTCTCCATTATCCACACACTCTACTGGCTCCACCACACCTACACACACACACACACACACACACACACACACACACACACACACACACACCAAAAACACCAAAACACACACACCAAACGTACACACACACACCAAAAACACACAAGAGAGAGAGCAACCAGAGTTCTACACATGAACCAAAGGTTCTACACTCAAAGAGAGGGCTCGTACACACACACCTTTGGGTCCTTGTACTCGGACTTGCAGAGGGGCGACTCCTGCTTTAGATGCGTCCACGGTGAAGGCCTGTGGAATGTTGGCACGCACGTTGGTTCCAAGCCCCTCCCCCTTACACTTCACCATAGAACTGTCCACCGTGTCGCTGACGGGCACCTGGAAGGGACTGCCTAAAGACGGAGAGAGAGAGAGGGAGAGAGAAATGAAGGGAGAGAGAGAGATGAAGGGAGAGAAAGAGATGAAGGGAGAGAGAGATGAAGGGAGAGAGAGAGATGAAGAGAGAGAGAGATGAAGGGAGAGAGAGAGAGGAAGGGAGAGAGAGAGAGGAAGGGAGAGATGAAGAGAGAGAGAGGTGAAGGGAGAGAGAGATGAAGGACGAAAGAGACAGAGGTGGAGAGAGAGATAGAGAGAGCGTGAGAGCGAGAGAGATCAGGGGTTAATTTGGTATCAACTGGTGAGGAGAGAGATCAGGGGGCGACTTACAGTTAGTGAGTGCATACATTTTCATACTGGCCCCCCGTGGGAAACGAACCATGCTCTACCAACTGAGTACAGGGGACTATACTACTTTGGTATCAACTGGTGAGAAGAGAGATCAGGGGGTTACTTTGGTATCAACTGGTGAGAAGAGAGATCAGGGGGTTAATAAACTGCAGGTCAAATGTGGGCTTTGTGTATACTAGTTTTTTATTATCCTAGATTGGGACCTTCACTAGCTATCTTTACAGATTGAGAATTTCACTAGCTATCTTTACAGATTGAGAATTTCACTAGCTATCTTTACAGATTAGGACCTTCACTAGCTATCTTTACAGATTGGAAACTTCACTAGCTATCTTTACAGATCGAGAACTTCACTAGCTATCTTTACAGATTGAGAATTTCACTAGCTATCTTTACAGATTGGGAACTTCACTAGCTATCTTTACAGATTAGGACCTTCACTAGCTATCTTTACAGATTGGAAATTTCACTAGCTATCTTTACAGATTGAGAATTTCACTAGCTATCTTTACAGATTGAGAATTTCACTAGCTATCTTTACAGATTGGGAACTTCACTAGCTATCTTTACAGATTGAGAACTTCACTAGCTATCTTTACAGATTGAGAACTTCACTAGCTATCTTTACAGATTGAGAACTTCACTAGCTATCTTTATGGATTGGGAACTTCACTAGCTATCTTTACAGATTGAGAACTTCACTAGCTATCTTTATGGATTGGGAACTTCACTCGTTACCTCCACAATTTAGAGGCACAATACACATGTACCAGTGCGTGTGTCTGTGGGTGTGGCCGTACCACCGATAGGCTGTCCTCCGTAGGTGATGTTGAGGTTATATGTTCCAGCCTCGTACGGAATGTACTCCACACTGCAGCTGCCATCTTTGTTGTCGGTGCAGGACATCTTCGCCTCCGACGGGCCCTCTACAGCCAGACCCAGACCCCCTGTACCCGCACCACTACGGTGAGAGAGAGAGGGAAAGAGAGAGAGAGAGTCATTCTAAAATCCATGTACACAAACAACAAATGTGCAGTTAAAAGTGGCAAAAACACACATTTCTTTCCACAGGCCGTGGGGTGAGACAGGGATGCTGCTTGAACCCCACCCTCTTCACCATATATATATCAACGAATTGGCTAGGGCACTAGAACAGTCTGCAGCACCCGGCCTCACCCTACTAGAATCTGAAGTGAAATGTCTACTGTTTGCAGATGATCTGGTGCTTCTGTCCCCAACCAAGGAGGGCCTACAGCAGCACCTAGATCTTCTGCACAGATTCTGGCAGACCTGGGCCCTGACAGTAAATCTCAGTAAGTCCAAAATAATGGTGTTCCAAAAAAGGTCCAGTTGCCAGGACCACAAATTCCATCTAGACACCGTTGCCCTAGAGCACACAAAAAAAGGATACACACCTCGGCCTAAACATCAGCGCCATAGGTAACTTCCACAAAGCTGTGAACGATTTATAATAATTATAATAATAAATAATAATATAATTAGTCATTTAGCAGACGCTCTTATCCAGAGCGACTTACAGGAGCAATTAGGGTTAAGTGCCTTGCTCAAGGGCACCGACAGATTTTTCACCTAATCGGCTCGGGGATTAGAACCAGCGACCTTTCGGTTACTGGCACAACGCTCTTACCCACTAAGCTACCTGCCGCCCTTTGAGAGACAAGGCAAGAAGGGCCTTCTATGCCATCAAAAGGAACATAACATTTGACATACCAATTAGGATCTGGCTAAAATACTTGAATCAGTTATAGAACCCATTGCCCTTTATGGTTCTGAGGTCTGGGGTCCGCTCACCAACCAAGAATTCACAAAATGGGACAAACACCAAATTGAGACACTACATGCAGAATTCTGCAACAATATCCCCCATGTACAATGATAAACACCAAATAATGCATGCAGAGCAGAATTAGGCCGATACCCGCTAATGATCAAAATCCAGAAAAGAGCCGTTAAATTCTATAACCACTTAAAAGGAAGCGATTCCCAAACATTCCATAACAAAGCCATCACCTACAGAGAGATGAACCTGGAGAAGAGTCCCCTACGCAAGCTGGACCTGGGGCTCTGTTCACGAACACAAACAGACCCCACAGAGCCCCAGGACAACAACACAATTAGACCCAACCAAATCATGAGAAAACAAAAATATAATTATTTGACACATTCAAAAGTATTAACAAAAAAACAGAGCAAACTAGAATGCTATTTGACCCTAAACAGAGAGTACACAGTGGCAGAATACCTGACCCCTGTGACTGACCCAAACTTGAGGAAAGCTTTGACTATGTACAGACTCAGTGACCATAGCCTTGCTATTGAGAAAGGCCGCCGTAGTCAGACCTGGCTCTCAAGAGAAGACAGGCTATGTGCACACTGCCCACAAAATGAGGTGGAAACTGAGCTGCACTTCCTAACCTCCTGCCAAATGTATGACCATATTAGAGACACTTATTTCCCTCAGATTACAGCGACCCACAAAGAATTCGAAAACAAACCCAATTTTGATAAACTCCCTTATCTACTGGGTGAAAAACCACAATGTGCCATCACAGCTGCAAGATTTGTGACCTGTTGCCACAAGAAAAGGGCAACCAGTGAAGAACAAGCACCATTTTAAATACAACCCATATTTATGTTTATTTATTTCCCCTTTTGTACTTTAACTATTTGCACATTGTTACAACACTGTATATATACACATAATATGACATTTGAAATGTGTCTATTCCTTTGGAACTTCTGAGTGTAATGTTTACTGTTAATTCTACATAGTTCTTTTCACTTTTGTTTATTATCTACTTCACTTGCTTTGGCAATGTTAACATACGTTTCCCATGCCAATAAAGCCCTTAAATTGAATTGAATTGAGAGAGAGAGAGAGAGAGAGAGAGACAGAGACAGAGAGAGAGAGAGAGACAGAGAGAGACAGAGAGAAACACAGAGAGACAGAGAGAGAGACAGAGAGAGAGACAGAGAGAGAGAGAGAGAGAGAGAGAGACAGAGAGAGAGAGAGAGAGAGAGGAGAGAGAGAGAGAGACAGAGAGAGAGAGAGAGAGAGAGAGAGAGAGACAGAGAGAGACAGAGAGAGAGAGACACAGAGAGACAGAGAAAGAGACAGAGAAAGAGACAGAGAGAGAGACAGAGAGAGAGAGAGAGAGAGAGAGAGAGAGAGAGAGAGAGAGAGAGAGAGAGAGAGAGAGAGAGAGAGAGAGCGCGAGGGGGGTTGGAAAGGTCATCATTCTGTAACACAGGCCAGACAGTCTCCCGAAGCTGTGTGTGTGCCTGTGTGTGTCGTACCGGGTCTCCACTGTGAATTGATTGGCTTTGTTGGTGATGCCTGTGTCCAGGCCGGGTCCATGCACACGCACACGTCCCGGGTCACACCCCTCCATCACGGCAACACGGAACGGACTGTTGGGTACTGGTGTCTCATCGTACGTCACCTCTACACTGTGGGGACCTGGACAGAACAGAGTTATCATATAGATCACCTCTACACTGGGGGGACCTGGACAGAACAGAGTTATCATATAGATCACCTCTACACTGGAGGGACATGGACAGAACAGAGTTATCATATAGATCACCTCTACACTGGAGGGACCTGGACAGAACAGAGTTATCATATAGATCACCTCTACACTGGGGGGACCTGGACAGAACAGAGTTATCATATAGATCACCTCTACACTGGAGGGACCTGGACAGAACAGAGTTATCATATAGATCACCTCTACACTGGAGGGACCTGGACAGAACAGAGTTATCATATAGATCACCTCTACACTGGAGGGACCTGGACAGAACAGAGTTATCATATAGATCACCTCTACACTGGGGGGACCTGGACAGAACAGAGTTATCATATAGATCACCTCTACACTGGGGGGACCTGGACAGAACAGAGTTATCATATAGATCACCTCTACACTGGAGGGACCTGGACAGAACAGAGTTATCATATAGATCACCTCTACACTGGGGGGACCTGGACAGAACATATAGTATATACAGTGTATTCGGAAAGTATTCAGACCACTTTACTTTTTCCACATTTTGTTACGTTACAGCCTTATTCTAAAATGGATTAAATCGTTTCCCCCCCCCTCTAATCTACACACAATACCCCATCTCACTTCTCTGTTAAAGTATAAAATACAAGGCACCAAACCCGCTCCCAGGGTTGGTTATCTCTTGAGGTTCCTCGTGTCTCTATCAACCTAGGTACAGTTTATTCGGAAAGTATTCAGTCTTATTCTGAAATTGATTTTTAAAAATGTATCCCTCATCAATCTACACACAATACCCCATAATGACAAAGTGAAAACAGGTTTTTAGAAATGTTATCAAATTTATTAAAAATAAAAAAACAGAAATACCTTATTTACATAACTATTCATCCCCTTTGTGATGAGACTCGAAATTGAGCTCAGGTGCATCCTGTTTCCATTGATCATCCTTGATGTTTCTACAACTTGATTGGAGTCCACCTGTGGTAAATTCAATTGATTGGACATTATTTGGAAAGGCACACACCTGTCTAAATAAGGTCCCACAGTTGACAGTGCATGTCAGAGCAGAAACCAAGCCATAAGGTCGAAGGAATTGTCCGTAGAGCTCCAAGACAGGATTGTGTCGAGGCACAGATCTGGGGAAGGGTACCAAAACATGTCTGCAGCATTGAAGGTCCCCAAGAACACAGTGGCCTCCATCATTCTTAAATGGAAGAAGTTTGGAACCACCAAGACTTTCAAGAGCTGGCCACCTGACCAAACTGAGCAATCGGGGGAGAAGGGCCTTGGTCAGGGAGGAGACATCAGACTGGGGCGAAGGTTCACCTTCCAACAGGACAACGACCCTAAGTACACAGCCAAGACAACGCAGGAGTGGCTTCGGGACAAGTCTCTGAATGTCCTTGAGTGGCCCAGCCAGAGCCTGGACTTGAACCCGATCTAACATCTCTGGAGAGACCTGAAAATAGCTGTGCAGCGACGCTCCCCATCCAACCTGACAGCGCTTGAGAGGATCTGCAGAGAAGAGTGGGAGAAACTCCCCAAATACAAGTGTGCCAAGCTTGTAGCGTCATACCCAAGAAGACTCGAGGCTGTAATCACTGCTAAAGGTGCTTCAACAAAGTACTGAGTAAAGGGTCTGAATACTTATGTAAATGTGATATTTCCCCAAAACAATTAAATTAGAAATTAGCAAAAATGTCTAAAAACCTGTTTTTGCTTTGTCATTATGGGGAAGTGTGTGTAGATTGATGAGGAAAAAATACAATTTAATCAATTTTAGAATAAGGCTGTAACGTAACAAAATGTGGAAAAAGTCAAGGGGTCTGAATACTTTCCGAATGCGCTGTAATACAGACTCATCACAGACAATAAACTGTAATGTCATCTCATCATCATAAACAGGGATGTCAGGCAGAAAGAACGATAGGATATGGTTGGCCACCACTCTTCAGACAGTAAAACTAGTCTCTACGCTGGCAGGTTGCACTAGCAAAGTTCTGTTGCCAACCACTGTGTGAACAAAGCAAGACTCACCCTCTCTGTACGGAGTGTACTAGGTAGTGTACTAACTCACCCTCTCTGTACGGAGTGGACTAGGTAGTGTACTAACTCACCCTCTTGGTAGGGAGTGTACTAGGTAGTGTACTAACTCACCCTCTTGGTAGGGAGTGTACTAGGTAGTGTACTAGGTAGTGTACTAACTCACCCTCTTGGTAGGTAGTGTACTAGGTAGTGTACTAACTCACTCTCTTGGTAGGGAGTGTACTAGGTAGTGTACTAACTCACCCTCTTGGTAGGGAGTGTACTAGGTAGTGTACTAACTCACCTTCTTGGTAGGGAGTGTACTAGGTAGTGTACTAACTCACCCTCTTGGTAGGGAGTGTACTAGGTAGTGTACTAACTCACCCTCTTGGTAGGGAGTGTACTAGGTAGTGTACTAGGTAGTGTACTAACTCACCCTCTTGGTAGGGAGTGTACTAGGTAGTGTTACCTAACTCACCCTCTTGGTAGGGAGTGTACTAGGTAGTGTACTAACTCACCCTCTTGGTAGGGAGTGTACTAGGTAGTGTACTAGGTAGTGTACTAACTCACCTTCTTGGTAGGGAGTGTACTAGGTAGTGTACTAGGTAGTGTACTAGGTAGTGTACTAACTCACCCTCCTTGGTAGGGAGTTGTACTAGGTAGTGTACTAGGTAGTGTACTAAACTCACCCTCTTGGTAGGGAGTGTACTAGGTAGTGTACTAACTCACTCCTCTTGGTAGGAGTGTTACTAGGTAGTGTACTAGGTAGTGTACTAACTCACCCTCTTGGTAGGGAGTGTACTAGGTAGTGTACTAGGTAGTGTACTAACTCACCCTCTTGGTAGGTAGTGTACTAGGTAGTGTACTAACTCACCTTGGTAGGGAGTGTACTAGGTAGTGTACTAAATCACCTTGGTAGGGAGTGTACTAGGTAGTGTACTAACTCACCCTCTTGGTAGGGAGTGTACTAGGTAGTGTACTAAATCACCTTGGTAGGGAGTGTACTAGGTAGTGTACTAGGTAGTGTACTAACTCACCCTCTTGGTAGGTAGTGTACTATGTAGTGTACTAACTCACCTTGGTAGGGAGTGTACTAGGTAGTGTACTAACTCACCTTGGTAGGGAGTGTACTAGGTAGTGTACTAAATCACCCTCTTGGTAGGGAGTGTACTCGGTAGGGTACTAACTCCCTCTCTTGGTAGGTCGTGTACTAGGTAGTGTACTAACTCCCTCTCTTGGTAGGTAGTGTACTAGGTAGTGTACTAACTCACCCTTTTGGTAGGGAGTGTACTAGGTAGTGTACTAACTCACCCTCTTGGTAGGGAGTGTACTAGGTAGTGTACTAGGTAGTGTACTAACTCACCTTCTTGGTAGGGAGTGTACTAGGTAGTGTACTAGGTAGTGTACTAACTCCCCCTCTTGGTAGGGAGTGTACTAGGTAGTGTACTAGGTAGTGTACTAACTCACCCTCTTGGTAGGGAGTGTACTAGGTAGTGTACTAACTCACCCTCTTGGTAGGGAGTGTACTAGGTAGTGTACTAACTCACCCTCTTGGTAGGGAGTGTACTAGGTAGTGTACTAACTCACCCTCTTGGTAGGGAGTGTACTAGGTAGTGTACTAACTCACCCTCTTGGTAGGGAGTGTACTAGGTAGTGTACTAACTCACCCTCTTGGTAGGGAGTGTACTAGGTAGTGTACTAGGTAGTGTACTAACTCACCCTCTTGGTAGGGAGTGTACTAGGTAGTGTACTAGGTAGTGTACTAACTCACCCTCTTGGTAGGGAGTGTACTAGGTAGTGTACTAACTCACCCTCTTGGTAGGGAGTGTACTAGGTAGTGTACTAGGTAGTGTACTAACTCACCTTCTTGGTAGGGAGTGTACTCTACGCTGTAGGTTCCGTCATAGTGGTCGGTGATGACAGCGTCGGTAACGGCTCCAGATGGGTTCTGGATCACTGTCTTGATGTGGTTCCCTCCCGTCTGGGTCAGGGGCCGCGCGTCTACTGAGAAGTCTGTGGTAGCCTCGCGGAACACGCCTAGAACACACAGCACACGCTTAGAACATGCCTAGAACTCAGAACACACGCTTAGAACACAGAGCACACACTTAGAACATGCCTAGAACACGCCTAGAACACAGAACACACGTAGGGCCCAGAACACATGTAGGGCCCAGAACACACTAAGAAATAATAATATATGCCATTTAATTGGGTCAGACATTCTATAGGTCTATGCTATAATAACATTTTATTCATTTAGCAGACCTTCTTATCCAGAGCGACTTACAGTTAGTGAGTGCATACGTTTTTATTTTTATTTTTCATTTCCCCCGTGGCAATCAAACCCACAACCCTGGCATTGCAAACGCCATGCTCTACCAACTGAGCTACATCCCTGCCAGCCATTCCCTCCCCTACCCTGGACGACTTGCACACCGCCCCATGGGTCTCCCGGACGCGGCCGGCTACGACAGAGCCTGGATTCGAACCAGGATCTCTAGTGTCACAGCTAGCACTGCAATGCAGTGCCTTAGACCACTGCGCCACTGAACATGGCTCAGACATTGTTTAGGTCTATGTTGTGAACATGGTTCAGACATTGTATAGATCTATAGATGTATTGATCTATGCTATAATGTTTTCTTACAAAGACAAAAATATGTCCACTTGTGTGACTCTCATAAAGGGGGCGTGTCTGTAGCATGGTACTTCTGATTCCCCACTCCAGGGTCATGTGATGGGCTGTCACTGTTAAGTAGCTCCCTGTAGCCCTGGAGATCCATCCATCTGTAGTAAGCGCAACACGAAGTGCATTGGCCAATTCAAGCTTTCGCTTGCTTATATAGAGCGAATACTACCTGTTTACTGAATTGGGTGCGAGAGGGCAAAGTTTGTAATGTGGCTCGAATTTCTTTCACGAGGTGCTGAAACCCCCTATTCTTCTCCGCCACTATAAACATACCTATCAATGTTGTAATTTCTCTGGCCAGGTGGTAGGAATACTGTGGTAATGTTTGGCGTAAATGTGTCAACATGTTTGAGGTGTTGGCAGCTGCATGGGCTGTTCTCGTTGAGCAGTGGCGACCATACTCTCTGTTCATCGCTGCTGTATTCTACTGGGAAGCCAAAATGTTCCCAAACTGGAGATTTAAATGATAATGGAGAATCCTCCTGGTTTACCGACCGCACCACTCGCCATCGTACAGAACTAGTTCCCAGCTGCACCCCACAAAAGGATGGTTTGAAATGCGCCAGTTAAGATTAGAACGTTGATTACAACCTATAGGCTCTAGTTGTTTTAACGGAATAGACAGATTTTTTTTTTTCCAGCTCAGATTCACTCAAGAGGCATACAACGCTGCGTAAACATAGCTTATATATATTTGATGTATTTATTCGGGTTCACAGTGCGGACACCATTTAGCAGACGGTTTTATCCAAAGTGACTTACAGTCATGCATGCATACATTTTACGTATGGGTGGTCCCGGGAATCAAACCCACTACCCTGGCGTTACAAGCGCCATGCTCTCCCAACTGAGCTACAAAGGACCAGTTAATAGACCTGCAGGACATAACACATGCTTAGGACACGCCTACAACACAAAGCACACACTAAGAACACGCCTAGGGGACGGAACACTCTCTGACCTTTGCCCTCTACTCCCGGTCCGAACACGAGGACTCCGCTGGTGTTGACGGCCGGCTCCACGGCGAGGCGGGCTGGGAAGTTGGGTACATCCTGCCCCCCGTAGCGGATGGTGAGGGTGTATGAGCCGGGGCACAGGGGGATGTAGGTGATGGTGTAGGTTCCGTCTCCATTGTCCTGGATGTGGACCTCTGCCTCTGTCCCGCTGTCACCGATGATCTCTATGGTCAGCTCAGCCGGACCCGCGTTGGTACAGTCCACCACAAACTCCCCTGTCTCTCCCATCTTGGCACGCTCCAAACCTGGGCCGGAACACTTCACCTGACAGACATGGGGGGAGACAGGACATACAGGGTCAGGGGTCAGAGGTCAGGGGGATTAGAGAGGTTAGGGGTTAGAGGTTAGAGGTTAGGGGTTAGAGGTTAGAGGTTAGGGGTTAGAGGTTAGAGGTTAGAGGTTAGGGGTTAGAGGTTAGGGGTTAGAGGTCAGGGGTTAGAGGTCAGGGGTTAGAGGTCAGGGGTTAGAGGTCAGGGGTTAGAGGTCAGGGGTTAGAGGTTAGGGGTTAGGGGTCAGGGGTTAGAGGTCAGGGGTTAGAGGTCAGGGGTTAGAGGTTAGGGGTTAGAGGTCAGGGGTTAGAGGTCAGGGGTTAGAGGTCAGGGGTTAGAGGTCAGGGTTAGAGGTCAGGGTTGGAGGTCAGGGGTTAGAGGTCAGGGGGTAGAGGTCAGGGTTAGAGGTCAGGGGTCAGAGGTCAGGGGGATTAGAGAGGTTAGGGGTTAGAGGTTAGAGGTTAGGGGTTAGAGGTTAGGGGTTAGGGGTTAGAGGTTAGGGGTTAGGGGTTAGAGGTTAGGGGTTAGGGGTTAGGGGTTAGGGGTTAGGGGTTAGGGGTTAGGGGTTAGAGGTTAGGGGTTAGGGGTTAGGGGTTAGAGGTCAGGGGTTAGAGGTCAGGGGTTAGAGGTTAGGGGTTAGAGGTCAGGGGTCAGAGGTCAGGGGTTAGAGGTCAGGGGTTAGAGGTCAGGGGTTAGAGGTCAGGGGTTAGAGGTCAGGGTTAGAGGTTAGGGGTTAGAGGTCAGGGGTTAGAGGTCAGGGGTTAGAGGTCAGGGGTTAGAGGTCAGGGGTTAGAGGGGTTAGAGGTCAGGGGTTAGAGGTTAGGGGTTAGAGGTCAGGGGTTAGAGGCCAGGGGTTAGAGGCCAGGGGTTAGAGGCCAGGGGTTAGAGGCCAGGGGTTAGAGGTCATGGGGTTAGAGGTCAGGGGTTAGAGGTCAGGGGTTAGAGGTTAGGGGTTAGAGGTTAGGGGTTAGAGGTTAGGGGTTAGAGGTCAGGGGTTAGAGGTCAGGGGTCAGAGGGCGTGTTTACCTTGGTAGCGTCGGTGGGGGGGTAGGCGGTGGGGTTGAAGGGGGATCCTGGGATCGGAGTGCCGTCATAGGTCAGCTCCACCTGGTATGGCCCTGCCTCCCAAGGGATAAACTTCACTTGACTGGTATCTGGTTTAAGACCCGCCTCCACCTGAATAATCATAATATTAACATTCAAATTAATAACAACCTTAATCATTTTCTATTTGTAAAGCACCTTTCATCATTGTTTTTAGCACAAAACGTTTAACAATGAACATATCATTGTAATATAATAATAATATATTATGTAATTATATTAAAATATAGTAATATAATTAAAATAGAGTTAAAATACCTACCTTGCTGGTGACAGGTGTCCCAGAAGGCCCTGTAACCTTGGCCCAGACCATCCCCTGACCTCCTGCTCCTTTACACTTCACCGTCACTTCCTGGTCCTTACCCACCGTCATCTCTACATAGATAGAGGAAGAGATAGAGAGATAGAAGAGATATCGAGATAGAATCTAAGTGTCACATGATCTGTCACATGATCTCAGTATATATACACCTGTTCTGAAAGGCCCCAGAGTCTGCAACACCACTAAGCAAGGGGCACCACCAAGCAAGCGACACTATGAAGACCAAGGAGCTCTCCAAACAGGTCATGGACAAAGTTGTGGAGAAGTACAGATGTTTTTCGTCGGCAGGGACTGGGAAACTGGTCAGAATTGAAGGAATGATGGATGGCGCTAAATACAGGGAAATTCTTGATGGAAACATGTTTCAGTCTTCCAGAGATTTGAGACTGGGACAGAGGTTCACCTTCCAGCAGGACAATGACCCTAAGCATACTGCTAAATCAACACTCAAGTGGTTTAAGGGGAAACATTTACATGTCTTGGAATGGCCTAGTCAAAGCCCAGACCTCATTCTAATTGAGAATCTGTGGTATGACTTAAATATTGCTGTACACCAGCGGAACCCATCCAACTTGAAGGAGCTGGAGAAGTTTTGCCTTGAAGAATGGGCAAAAATCCCAGTTGTTAGATGTGCCAAGCTTATAGAGACATACCCCAAGAGACTTGCAGCTGTAATTGCTGCAAAAGGTGACTCTACAAAGTATTGACTTTGGGGGGGTGAATAGTTATGCACGCTCAAGTTCTGTTTTTTTGTCTTATTACTTGTTTGTTTCACAATAAAACATATTTTGCATCTTCAAAGTGGTAGGCATGTTGTGTAAATCAAATGATACAAACCATTTTAATTCCAGGTTGTAAGGCAACAAAATAGGAAAAATGCGAAAGGGGGTGAATACTTTCACAAGCCACTGTATAGAAGAAGAGATAGATATATAGAAGAGAAGAGATGGAGAGATAGAAGAGAAAAGATATAGAAGAGAAGAGCCGGCCGCAACCGGGAGACCCATGGGGCGGCGCACAATTGGACCAGCGTCGTCCAGGGTAGGAGAGGGAATGGCTGGCAAGGATGTAGCTCAGTTGGTAGAGCATGGCGTTTGCAACGCCAGGGTTGTGGGTTCGATTCCCACGGGGGGCCAGTATGAAAAATAAAAAAATAATGTATGCACTCACTAACTAAGTCACTCTGGATAAGAGCGTCTGCTAAATGACTAAAATGTAAAAATATAAATGTAGAAAGAGAGATAGAAGAGAAGAGATATAAACGTCCTCTCACTGTCAACTGCGTTTATTTTCAGCAAACGTAACATGTGTAAACATTTGTATGAACATAACAAGATTCAACAACTGAGACATAAACTGAACAAGTTCCACAGACATGTGACTAACAGAAATTGAATAATGTGTCCCTGAAAAAAGGGGGGGGGGGGGTCAAAATCAAAAGTAACAGTCAGTATCTGGTGTGGCCACCAGCTGCATTAAGTACTGCAGTGCATCTCCTCCTCATGGACTGCACCAGATTTGCCAGTTATTGCTGTGAGATGTTACCCCACTCTTCCACCAAGGCACCTGCAAGTTCCCGGACATTTCTGGGGGGAATGGCCCTAGCCCTCACCCTCCGATCCAACAGGTCCCAGACGTGCTCAATGGGATTGAGATCTGGGAACTTCGCTGGCCATGGCAGAACACTGACATTCCTGTCTTTCAGGAATTCATGCACAGAACGAGCAGTATGGCTGGTGGCATTGTCATGCTGGAGGGTCATGTCAGGATGAGCCTGCAGGAAGGGTACCACATGAGGGAGGAGGATGTCTTCCCTGTAACGCACAGCATTGAGATTGCCTGCAATGACAACAAGCTCAGTCCGATGATGCTGTGACACACCGCCCCAGACCATGACGGATCCTCCACCTCCAAATCGATCCCGCTCCATAGTACAGGCCTCGGTGTAACGCTCATTCCTTCGACGATAAACGCGAATCCGACCATCACCCCTGGTGAGACAAAACCGCGACTCGTCAGTGAAGAGCACTTTTTGCCAGTCCTGTCTGGTCCAGCGACGGTGGGTTTGTGCCCATAGGCGACGTTGTTGCCCGTGATGTCTGGTGAAGACCTGCCTTACAACAGGCCTACAAACCCTCAGTCCAGCCTCTCTCAGCCTATTGCGGACAGTCTGAGCACTGATGGAGGGATTGTGCGTTCCTGGTGTAACTCGGGCAGTTTTTGTTGCCATCCTGTACCTGTCCCGCAGGTGTGATGTTCGGATGTACCGATCCTGTGCAGGTGTTGTTACACGTGGTCTGCCACTGCGAGGACGATCAGCTGTCCGTCCTGTCTCCCTGTAGGGCTGTCTTAGGCGTCTCTCAGTACGGACATTGCAATTTATTGCCCTGGCCACATCTGCAGTCCTCATGCCTCCTTGCAGCATACCTAAGGCACGTTCACGCAGATGAGCAGGGACCCTGGGGATTTTCTTTTGGTGTTTTTCAGAGTCAGTAGAAAGGCCTCTTTAGTGTCCTAAGTTTTCATAACTGTGACCTTAATTGCCTACCGTCTGTAAGCTATTAGTGTCTTAACGACCGTTCCACAGGTGCATGTTCATTCATTGTTTATGGTTAATTGAACAAGCACGAAGATCTGTGAAGTTATTTGGATTTTTACAAATTATCCTGAAAAAGGGACATTTATTTTTTTGCTGAGTCTAGTATGTAGTGTAGTATATAGTATGCTACCGGTCAAAAGTTTGGGGTCACTTAGAAATGTCCTTGTTTTCGAAAGAAAAGCTATTTTTTTGTCGATTAAAATAACATATAATTGATCAGAAATACAGTGTTGACATTGTTAATGTTGTAAATGGCTATTGTAGCTGGAAACGGCTGATTTTTTATGGAATATCTAAATAGGCGTACAGAGGCCCATTATCAGCAACCATCAGTCCTGTGTTCCAATGGCACGTTGTGTTTGCTAATCCAAGTTTATCATTTTAAAAGGCTAATTGATCATTAGAAAACCCTTTTTGCAATTATGTTAGCTCAACTGAAAACTGTTGTGCTGATTAAAGAAGCAATAAAACTGGCCTTCTTGAGACTAGTTGTGTATCTGGAGCATTAGCAATTGTGGGTTTGATTACAGAATCAAAATGGCCAGAAAGAAATAACTTTCTTCTGAAACTCGTCAGTCTATTCTTGTTCTGAAAAATGAAGGCTATTCCATGCGAGAAATTGCCAAGAAACTGAAGATCTCGTACAACACTGTGTACTACTCCCTTCACAGAACAGCGCAAACTGGCTCTAACTAGAATAAAAAGAGGAGTGGGAGGCCCCGGTGCACAACTGAGCAAGAGGACAAATACATTAGTGTCCAGTTTGAGAAACAGACGCCTCACAGGTCCTCAACTGGCTGCTTCATTAAATAGTACCCGCAAAACACCAGTCTCAATGTCAACAGTGAAGAGGCGACTCCGGGATGCTGACCTTCTAGGCAGAGTTGCAAAGAAAAAGCTATATCTCAGACTGGCCAATAAAAATAAAAGATTAAGATGGGCAAAAGAACACAGACACTGGACAGAGGAAGATTGGAAAAAAGTGTTATGACAGACAAAACGAAGTTTGAGGTGTTCGGATCACAAAGAATAACATTTGTGAGACGCAGACCAAATGAAAAGATGATGGAGGAGTGCTCTGTCAAGCATGGTGGAGGCAATGTGATGGTCTGGGGTTGCTTTGGTGGTGGTAAAGTGGGAGATTTGTACAGGGTAAAAGGGATCTTGAAGAAGGAAGGCTATCACTCCATTTTGCAACGCCATGCCATACCCTGTGGACAGCACTTGATTGGAGCCAATTTCCTCCTAAAACAGGACAATGACCCAAAGCACAGCTCCAAACTATGCAAGAACTATTTAGGGAAGAAGCAGTCAGCTGGTATTCTGTCTATAATGGAGTGGCCAGCACAGTCACCGGATCTCAACCCTATTGAGCTGTTGTGGGAGCAGCTTGACCGTATGGTACGTAAGAAGTGGCCATCAAGCCAATCCAACTTGTGGGAGGTGCTTCAGGAAGCATGGGGTGAAATCCCTTCAGATTACCTCAACAAATTGACAACTAGAACGCAAAAGGCTGCAAATGGAGGATTCTTTGACGAATAAAAAGTTTGGAGTACACAATTATTATTTCTATTAAAAATAATTATTTCTAACCTTGTCAATGACTACATTTCCTATGCATTTTGCTATATTTCCTATTCAAACTCATTTCATGTATGTTTACATGGAAAACAAGGACATTTCTAAGTGACCCAAAACTTTTGAACAGTAGTGTATATATAGTATATATAGCATAAAGTGTAGCTAGATAGTGATATAGTATATATATAGTATATATATATATATATATATACAGCGCATTCAGAAATCATTCAGACCCCTTGACTTTTTCCACATTTTGTTACTTTACAGCCTTATTCAAAAATTGTCATCAATCTACACACAATACCCCATAATGACAAAGCAAAAACAGGTTTTTAGAAATTTGTTCAAATGTATTTAAAAATAAAAAACTGAAATATCAAATTTACATAAGTATTCAGACCATTTACTCAGTACTTTGTTGTAGCACCTTTGTCAGTGATTACAGCCTTAAGTGTTCTTGGGTATGACGCTACAAGCTTGGCACACCTGTATTTGGGTTTCTCCCATTCTTCTCTGCAGATCCTCTCAAGCTCTGTCAGGTTGGATGGGGAGCGTCGCTGCAAAGCTATTTTCAGGTCTCTCCAGAGATGTTGTCCTGTTGGAAGGTGAACCTTCACCCCAGTCTGAGGTCCTGAGCGCTCTGGAGAAGGTTTTCATCAAGGATCTCTCTGTACTTTGATCCGTTCATTTTTCCGTCGATCCTGACTAGTCTCCCTGCCGCTGAAAAACATCCCCACAGCATGATGCTGCCACCACCATGCTTCACCGTAGGGATGGTGCCAGGTTTCCTCCAGACATGACGCTTGGCATTCAGGCCAAAGAGTTCAATCTTGGTTTCATCAGACCAGAGAATCTTGTTTCTCATGGTCTGAGAGTCTTTAGGTGCCTTTTGGCAAACTCCAAGCGGGCTGTCATGTGCCTTTTACTGAGGAGTGGTTTCCGTCTGGCCATTCTACCATAAAGGCCTGATTGCTGGAGTTCTGCAGAGATGGTTGTCCTTCTGGAAGGTTCTCCCATCTCCACAGAGGAACTCTGGAGCTCTGTCAGAGTGACCATCACCTCCCTGACCAAGGCCCTTCTCCCCCGATTGCTCAGTTTGGCCGGGCGGCCAGCTCTAGGAAGAGTCTTGGTGGTTCCAAACGTCTTCCATTTAAGAATGATGGAGGCCACTGTGTTCTTGGGGACCTTCAAATGTGTAGAAATGCTTTGGTACCCTTCCCCAGATCTGTGCTTCGACACAATCCTGTCTCGGAGCTCTACGGACAATTCCTTCGACCTCATGGCTTGGTTTTTGCTCTGACATGTACTGTCGTCTGTGGGACCTTATATAGACAGGTGTATGCCTTTCCAATTCATGTCCAATCAATTAAATTTACCACAGGTGGACTCCAATCAAGTTATAGAAACATCTCAAGGGTGATCAATGGAAACAGGATGCACCTGAGTTTAATTTTGAGTCTCATAGCAAAGGGTCTGAATACATATGTAAATAAGGTGTTTCTGTTTTATTTTTAATGCATTTGCTAAAATTTCTAAAAACCTGTTTTTCGCTTTGATATTGTGTGATTTAGATTTTTTTTTAAACATTTTAATACATTTTAGAATAAGTCTGTAACATAACAAATGTGGAAAAAGGGAAGGGGTCTGAATACTTTCCGAACGAACTGTATATATAGTATGTAGTGTAGACAGTGATATAGTATTTATAGTATATATAGTACGTAGTGTAGATAGATAGTGATATAGTATATATAGTAGATATAGCAGTGGAGGCTCCTCAGAGGAGGAAGGGGAGGACCATCCTCCTCAGTGAATTTCATTTAAAAAGCTATCCTTTTTATATAAAACTATACAAAATCTAATCACGTCACTAGATAATTGATTAAAAGACACTATTTTGCAAAAGAAGGTCTACAGTAGCCTCAACAGCACTCTGTAGGGTAGCACCATAGTGTAGAGTTTACCCTCCCGAGTGGCGCAGTGGTCTAAGGCACTGCATCGCAGTGCTAGCTGTGCCACTAGAGATCCTGGTTCGAATCCAGTCGTAGCCGGCCGCGACCGGGAGACCCATGGGGCGGCGCACAATTGGCCCAGCGTTGTCCAGGGTAGGGGAGGGAATGGCCGGCAGGGATGTAGCTCAGTTGGTAGAGCATGGCGTTTGCAACGCCAGGGTTGTGCGTTCAATTCCCAAAATAATGTATGCACTCACTAACTGTAAGTCGCTCTGGATAAGAGCGTCTGCTAAATGACTAAAATGTAAAAAAATATATATAAATGAGGACAGCTAGCTTCCGTCCTCCTCTGGGTACATTGACTTCTATACAAAACCTAGGAGGCCCAGTGAGAACCATAGACTTACACAGGAATTATGCCAACTTCCGGAGGACGTCCTCCAACCTACCAGAGCTCTTGCAGCATGAACTGACATGTTGTCCACCCAATCAAAGCATCAGAGAATTAATCTATTACTGAAAGCATAAACTACAGCTAGCTAGCACTGCAGTGTATAACATGTGGTGAGTAGTTGACTCAAAGAGAGAGAAAGACAATAGTTGAACAGTTTTGAACAAATTAATTTCTTCCTAAATGAAGGAGAAGCAAGAGAGAAATAGAGAGAGAGAGAGATTTAGCATCTTTTTTTCACTTTCAGTTTCACTTACTTAGCTAGCAAATGCAGCTAACTAGTTTAGCCTACTGGAACACCCAGCTCAAACAGAGGGATGCTATGTTAGCTAGCTGGCTAGTTTAGCCCACTGGAACACCCAGCTCAAACAGAGAGTGATGCTATGTTAGCTAGCTGGCTAGTTTAGCCTACTGGAACACCCAGCTCAAACACAACACTGGAACTCTTCCAAGTCAAGGCATAAAAAGGTACATTTTTTGGTTTTACTAATTTATTGCCACCGGGGCCCGCCAGTGTAACTGCTTACTGACTGTACACTGTAACGTTACTGCATGATTGTAGCGGGTTTACTAACACGTTAGTTCTATTAGCTATGCTGACTATGACGTTACTTTAGCTAATATGGAGTATCATGTAGTATCCTAAACCTATGGATGTTACATTGAGCTGGGGAATATGAATGGCAGTAATAGATATAAGGCCATGCTCATGAAACAAAAAAAAATCCTCCCTCAACTGAAAAGGCACCAACCGCCACTGATATATAGTATATATAGTGTACATACTATCACCCAGTCCAGCCACTTATGTCTATAGTATATATAGTATATATAGTGTACATACTATCACCCAGTCCAGCCACTTGTATGTTGCTGAGGTCGAGGCTTGGTACCACGGGGATGGAGAAGGGACTCTTGGGAACAGAATCTCCTCCGTAGGTGACGGCCACTCCCAGAGGGCCCTGCTGGACGGGGGTGTACTTGACCGTGTGGGTGTTATCGTGGTTGTTGATGATCTCAAAGTCCTTGACCGTCTCTCCTTTAGCCGGGCCGGAGAACACAGCGTCCAGCTTGGCTTTACCTGCAGCCTTGGCGTTTACTGTGAAGTGGGTCAGCTTGTTTAACTCCACACCTGGACGAGAGATATGGGAAGAGGAGGGGAGAGAGGGCAGGGAACAGGGAAGGGTTAATTATCTCTGGTGGAGGAACTGCTGTGTGTGTAGCGTGTGTGTGTGGTGTGTGTGTGTGTGTGTGTGTGTGTCTCACCACTGTGGTTGAGTCCTGGTCCCTCGGCCTTCACCTTGCTGGCGTTATGTGACGGGTCAACTTTGATCCTGATGGGAGTCATGGGGATGGTCTGGAACACAGAGGAGAGGCATACGACATTACTCAAACACACACTATATGTGACTCGTTTCAGGAAACTAGACGTATGTCGTGTGTCACTACTTCACAGGAAACTAGACGTATGTTGTGTGTCACTACTTCACAGGAAACTAGGCGTATGTCACTACTTCACAGGAAACTAGGCGTATGTCGTGTGTCACTACTTCACAGGAAACTAGACGTATGTTGTGTGTCACTACTTCACAGGAAACTAGGCGTATGTCGTGTGTCACTACTTCACAGGAAACTAGACGTATGTCACTACTTCACAGGAAACTAGGCGTATGTCGTGTGTCACTACTTAACAGGAAACTAGACGTATGTTGTGTGTCACTACTTCACAGGAAACTAGGCGTATGTCGTGTGTCACTACTTCACAGGAAACTAGACGTATGTCACTACTTCACAGGAAACTAGACGTATGTCGTGTGTCACTACTTCACAGGAAACTAGACGTATGTCGTGTGTCACTACTTCACAGGAAACTAGACGTATGATGTGTGTCACTACTTCACAGGAAACTAGACGTATGTCGTGTGTCACTACTTCACAGGAAACTAGACGTATGTCGTGTGTCACTACTTCACAGGAAACTAGACGTATGTCGTGTGTCACTACTTCACAGGAAACTAGACGTATGTCGTGTGTCACTACTTCACAGGAAACTAGACGTATGTAGTGTGTCACTACTTCACAGGAAACTAGACGTGTGTCACTACTTCACAGGAAACTAGACGTATGTCGTGTGTCACTACTTCACAGGAAACTAGGCATATGTCGTGTGTCACTACTTCACAGGAAACTAGACGTATGTCGTGTGTCACTACTTCACAGGAAACTAGACGTATGTCACTACTTCACAGGAAACTAGGCATATGTCGTGTGTCACTACTTCACAGGAAACTAGACGTGTGTCACTACTTCACAGGAAACTAGACGTATGTCGTGTGTCACTACTTCACAGGAAACTAGACGTATGTCGTATGTCACAACTTCACAGGAAACTAGACGTATGTCGTGTGTCACTACTTCACAGGAAACTAGACGTATGTCGTGTGTCACTGTCACGATCGTCGGGAACAGAGGACCAATGCGCAGCGTTGAATGCAAACATACTTATATTTATTTAAATGTTTACACGAACAAAACAACAAAAACGATACGTGACGTCCAAAATTGCGAACACAAACCTACACAGGAAACACGGAAAAAGATCCCACAAACACTGAGGGAAAACAGACTGTTTAAATATGGTTCCCAATCAGAGACAACCAGCAACAGCTGACACTCGTTGCCTCTGATTGGGAACCACTCTGGCCAACATAGAAATACAAGACCTAGAATGGAAAACAAAGAGCACAAAACATAGACTCTACACACCCTGGCTCAACATAAAAGAGTCCCTAGAGCCAGGGCGTGACAGTCACTACTTCACAGGAAACTAGACGTATGTCGTGTGTCTCTACTTCACAGGAAACTAGGCATATGTTGTGTGTCACTACTTCACAGGAAACTAGGCGTATGTCGTGTGTCACTACTTCACAGGAAACTAGGCGTATGTCACGTGTCACTACTTCACAGGAAACTAGACGTATGTCACTACTTCACAGGAAACTAGGCGTATGTCGTGTGTCACTACTTCACAGGAAACTAGGCGTATGTCACGTGTCACTACTTCACAGGAAACTAGACGTATGTCACTACTTCACAGGAAACTAGGCGTATGTCGTGTGTCACTACTTCACAGGAAACTAGGCGTATGTCACGTGTCACTACTTCACAGGAAACTAGACGTATGTCACTACTTCACAGGAAACTAGATGTATGTCGTGTGTCACTACTTCACAGGAAACTAGGCGTATGTCGTGTGTCACTACTTCACAGGAAACTAGACGTATGTCACTACTTCACAGGAAACTAGGCGTATGTCACTACTTCACAGGAAACTAGGCGTATGTCACTACTTCACAGGAAACTAGACGTATGTCACTACTTCACAGGAAACTAGACGTATGTCGTGTGTCACTACTTCACAGGAAACTAGACGTATGTCGTGTGTCACTACTTCACAGGAAACTAGGCGTATGTTGTGTGTCTCTACTTCACAGGAAACTAGACGTATGTCGTGTGTCACTACTTCACAGGAAACTAGACGTATGTCACTACTTCACAGGAAACTAGACATATGTCGTATGTCACTACTTCACAGGAAACTAGACGTATGTCGTATGTCACTACTTCACAGGAAACTAGACGTATGTCGTGTGTCACTACTTCACAGGAAACTAGACGTATGTCGTGTGTCACTACTTCACAGGAAACTAGACGTATGTCGTGTGTCACTACTTCACAGGAAACTAGGCGTATGTCGTATGTCACTACTTCACAGGAAACTAGACGTATGTCGTGTGTCACTACTTCACAGGAAACTAGGCGTATGTCACGTGTCACTACTTCACAGGAAACTAGACGTATGTCACTACTTCACAGGAAACTAGACGTATGTCGTGTGTCACTACTTCGCAGGAAACTAGACGTATGTCGTGTGTCACTACTTCACAGGAAACTAGACGTATGTCGTGTGTCACTACTTCACAGGAAACTAGGCGTATGTCGTATGTCACTACTTCACAGGAAACTAGACGTATGTCGTGTGTCACTACTTCACAGGAAACTAGGCGTATGTCACGTGTCACTACTTCACAGGAAACTAGACGTATGTCACTACTTCACAGGAAACTAGACGTATGTCGTGTGTCACTACTTCGCAGGAAACTAGACGTATGTCGTGTGTCACTACTTCACAGGAAACTAGACGTATGTCGTGTGTCACTACTTCACAGGAAACTAGACGTATGTCACTACTTCACAGGAAACTAGACGTATGTCGTGTGTTACTACTTCACAGGAAACTAGGCGTATATAACTACTTCACAGGAAACTAGACGTATGTCACGTGTCACTACTTCACAGGAAACTAGACGTATGTCGTGTGTCACCACTTCACAGGAAACTAGACGTATGTCACTACTTCACAGGAAACTAGGGGTATGTCGTGTGTCACTACTTCACAGGAAACTAGGCGTATGTCACTACTTCACAGGAAACTAGGGGTATGTCGTGTGTCACTACTTCACAGGAAACTAGACGTATGTCACTACTTCACAGGAAACTAGACGTATGTCACTACTTCACAGGAAACTAGACGTGTGTCGTGTGTCACTACTTCACAGGAAACTAGGCGTATGTCACGTGTCACTACTTCACAGGAAACTAGGCGTATGTCGTGTGTCACTACTTCACAGGAAACTAGACGTATGTCACGTGTCACTACTTCACAGGAAACTAGGCGTATGTCGTGTGTCACTACTTCACAGGAAACTAGACGTATGTCGTGTGTCACTACTTCACAGGAAACTAGACGTATGTCACTACTTCACAGGAAACTAGACGTATGTCACTACTTCACAGGAAACTAGGCGTATGTCGTTCGTCACTACTTCACAGGAAACTAGGCGTATGTCACTACTTCACAGGAAAGTAGGCGTATGTCGTGTGTCACTACTTCACAGGAAACTAGGGGTATGTCGTGTGTCACTACTTCACAGGAAACTAGGCGTATGTCACTACTTCACAGGAAACTAGGCGTATGTCGTGTGTCACTACTTCACAGGAAACTAGACGTATGTCACTACTTCACAGGAAACTAGACGTATGTCGTGTGTCACTACTTCGCAGGAAACTAGACGTATGTCGTGTGTCACTACTTCACAGGAAACTAGACGTATGTCGTGTGTCACTACTTCACAGGAAACTAGACGTATGTCACTACTTCACAGGAAACTAGGCGTATGTCGTGTGTCACTACTTCACAGGAACCTACATGTCTAAACAAAAGACTCCACTATGCAAGTAACCATTTCAATAGAATGTTCATGATGTCACTGTGACAACTGTCGATAGACGTAGCTGGTTAATTCGCTCTATCTACTCCCATTTCAGAGCACTCTCATCTGAGTGTGCCAGAGCGCAGAATAACTGACAAATTTATGAACGCTCAACACCCGTTGAATATGGCCGGTGACAGTAAACGTTGGCAAAAAAGCGTAATGAAATTGTTGCCAGCAGCACAGTTGCAGTCACCAACGCTCTGGATAACATAAACACAGCCTAACCAGCTCTGCTAGGGTGAGTAAAATGGTCAGAGTGAGCTGTTCTCTCATTTGTGTCTGGAAGTAGCTGGCCAACATTAGCCAGTTAGCTTGGGTGCTTGACTGCTGTTGTTAGGTCAGAACGCTCGGATCAACCCTACTCCTCGGCCAGAGCGTCCAGTGTGCACTCTGAGACCGAAACGCTTTGATCTGACAATCTGACAACACTCTTGAGTTTACGAAAGCCCAGAGCACACTCTTGCACTCCAGATTAAATTTATGAACACATCCGTAGTATAAACCAGCCTTCAGTCTTGAAATCTTTGGTTGTTTAGTACATAGCCTCACATGTGAATCCTTAAAGAGATGGGTGGGGCTAAAGCTTAAAAGGTGTGAACGATGTTGAATGGGTGTAGACAAAGAAGAGCTCTCCAGTAAGTATCAAAACATTCAAGGGCCATTTTCTCAAAGCAGAATTACTTTCCCATTGTTCCTCAACTGCAGTGTATGATATACCATGTGTCCCCTATCCTCTCCTCCCCTCCAGCTCCGTGGCTTGATGACTCATTGCGAGCTCACAGAACAGAGCTCCGGGCAGCTGAGCGGAAATGGAAGAAAACTAGACTCCCTGCGGACCTGGCATCTTTTCACTCCCTCCTCTCTACATTCTCTTCATCTGTTTCTGCTGCCAAGGCCACTTTCTACCACTCTAAATTCCAAGCATCTGCCTCTAACCCTAGGAAGCTCTTTGCCACATTCTCCTCCCCCCCCCCCCCCCCCTCCTCCCTCTCTGTGGATGACTTTGTCAACCACTTTGAAAAGAAGGTTGACGACATCCGATCCTTGTTTGTTAAGTCTAATGACACTGCTGGTCCTGCTCACACTGCCCTGCCCTATGCTTTGACTTCTTTCTCCCCTCTCTCTCCAGATAAAATCTCGCGACTTTTGACTGCAGGCCGCCCAACAACCTGCCCGCTTGACCCCATCCCCTCCTCTCTTCTCCAGACCATCTCCGGTGACCTTCTCCCCTACCTCACCTCGCTGATCAACTCATCCTTGACCGCTGGCTATGTCCCTTCCGTCTTCAAGAGAGCGAGAGTTGCACCCCTTCTCAAAAAACCAACACTCGATCCCTCTGATGTCAACAACTACAGACCAGTATCCCTTCTTTCTTTTCTTTCCAAAACTATTGAGCGTGCCGTCTTTAGCCAACTCTCTTGCTATCTCTCTCAGAATGACCTTCTTGACCCAAACCAGTCAGGTTTCAGGACTGGTCATTCAACTGAGACTGCTCTTCTCTGTGTCACGGAGGCTCTCCACACTGCTAAAGCTAACTCTCTCTCCTCTGCTCTTGTCCTTCTAGACCTGTCTGCTGCCTTTGATACTGTGAACCATCAGATCCTCCTCTCCACCCTCTCCGAGCTGGGCATCTCCGGCGCGGCTCACTCTTGGATTGCGTCCTACCTGACCGGTCGCTCCTACCAAGTGGCGTGGCGAGAAGCTGTCTCCGCACCACGTGCTCTCACCACTGGTGTCCCCCAGGGCTCAGTTCTAGGCCCTCTCCTATTCTCGCTATACACCAAGTCACTTGGCTCTGTCATATCCTCACATGGCCTCTCCTATCATTGCTACGCTGACGATACACAACTAATCTTCTCCTTTCCCCCTTCTGATAACCAGGTGGCGAATCGCATCTCTGCATGTCTGGCAGACATATCAGTATGGATGACGGATCACCACCTCAAGCTGAACCTTGGCAAGACGGAGCTGCTCTTCCTCCCGGGAAAGGACTGCCCGTTCCATGATCTCGCCATCACGGTTGACAACTCCGTTGTGTCCTCCTCCCAGAGTGCAAAGAACCTTGGCGCGACCCTGGACAACACCCTGTCGTTCTCCCCTAACATCAAGGCGGTGACCCGATCCTGCAGGTTCATGCTCTACAACATTCAGAGAGTACGACCCTGCCTTACACAGGAAGCGGCACAGGTCCTAATCCAGGCACTTGTCATCTCCCGTCTGGATTAATGCAACTCGCTGTTGGCTGGGCTCCCTGCCTGTGCCATTAAACCCCTACAACTCATCCAGAATGCCGCAGCCCGTCTGGTGTTCAACCTTCCCAAGTTCTCTCACGTCACCCCGCTCCTCCGCACACTCCACTGGCTTCCAGTTGAAGCTCGCATCTGTTACAAGACCATGGTGCTTGCCTATGGAGCTGTGAGGGGAACGGCACCTCCGTACCTTCAGGCTCTGATCAGTCCCTACACCCAAACGAGGGCATTGCGTTCATCCACCTCTGGCCTGCTGGCTCCCCTTCCTCTGCGGAAGCATAGTTCCCGCTCAGCCCAGTCAAAACTGTTCGCTGCTCTGGCACCCCAATGGTGGAACAAGCTCCCTCACGACGCCAGGACAGCGGAGTCACTCACCACCTTCCGGAGACATTTGAAACCCCACCTCTTTAAGGAATACCTGGGATAGGATAAAGTAATCCTTCTACCCCCCCCCCCCCCCCCCTAAAAAAAATAATAAAATAAAAAATTGTAAAGTGGTTATCCCACTGGCTATAGGGTGAATGCACCAATTTGTAAGTCGCTCTGGATAAGAGCGTCTGCTAAATGACGTAAATGTAAAGGTAAATGTAGCTCTGAGTCTCTACTTTTATCCAATGTAAAAAACACCATTTCAAATGTTGCTACATAAGACCAAATCGAGCCGGTCGGTCACATATACACACAGTGTTATAGTACTCGAGTCCACTTTTTCAAATGCAACTACTGTATTATTTAACTAGCCATGCTGATGTGTAACACTAAGCTAGCTAACTACTGTATTATTTAACTAGCCATGCTGATGTGTAACACTAAGCTAGCTAACTACTGTATTATTTAACTAGCCATGCTGATGTGTAACACTAAGCTAGCTAACTACTGTATTATTTAACTAGCCATGCTGATGTGTAACACTAAGCTAGCTAACTACTGTATTATTTAACTAGCCATGCTGATGTGTAACACTGTGAGCCAGCTACCTTTATTCTGATATGTAGCTTGCAAGATGGTTAGACCGCATCCTAAACAAGGGATTTGAGACTCAACATTGACTAGAGTATACAGGTGGCAGAATTAGTAAAGGTAGGGACTTGGGACTTGACACTGACTCAAGGTTTAGCGAACAGCATACATACATACTATACACTACACACCAACACCTGAAACTCTACTCACCTGGTCAGCGAATAGCACCATGATAGTGTAGCTACCAGCGCCTTGCGGGGTGTATTTAACGGTAAACGTGTCATTGTCGTTCCTGATTATGTCGAAGTCGATGTCTGCCTCTGCCGGTCCCACCACACCTGGAGAGCACTTTATACCTATACTGATGTCCCCTGGGGTACACACACACACACACGCACACACACACACACACACTTAATACACCTGGCGAAGATACAAGTGGAATTAAAATGTTTGCTTCAAGTGTCTTCATAAACATAGATTTGTATTTTGTTTACATATTGTGCATACTATGAACTGGTCCTTTGTATCTCAGTTGGTAGAGCACGGTGCTTGTAATGCCAGGGTAGTGGGTTCGATTCCCAAGACCACCCATACAGTGAGGGAAAAAAGTATTTGATCCCCTGCTGATTTTGTACGTTTGCCCACTGACAAAGAAATGATCAGTCTATAATTTTAATGGTAGGTTTATTTGAACTGTGAGAGACAGAATAACAACAACAAAATCCAGAAAAACGCATGTCAAAAATGTTATAAATTGATTTACATTTTAATGAGGGAAATAAGTATTTGACCCCCTCTCAATCAGAAAGATTTCTGGCTCCCAGGTGTCTTTTATACAGGTAATGAGCTGAGATTAGGAGCACACTCTTAAAGGGAGTGCTCCTAATCTCAGCTTGTTACCTGTCTAAAAGACACCTGTCCACAGAAGCAATCAATCAATCAGATTCCAAACTCTCCACCATGGTCAAGACCAAAGAGCTCTCCAAGGATGTCAGGGACAAGATTGTAGACCTACACAAGGCTGGAATGGGCTACAAGACCATCGCCAAGCAGCTTGGTGAGAAGGTGACAACAGTTGGTGCGATTATTCGCAAATGGAAGAAACACAAAAGGACTGTCAATCTCCTTCAGCCTGGGGCTCCATGCAAGATCTCACCTCGTGGAGTTGCAATGATCATGAGAACGGTGAGGAATCAGCCCAGAACTACACGGGAGGATCTTGTCGATGATCTCAAGGCAGCTGGGACCATAGTCACCAAGAAAACAATTGGTAACACACTACGCCGTGAAGGACTGAAATCCTGCAGCGCCCGCAAGGTCCCCCTGCTCAAGAAAGCACATATACAGGCCTGTCTGAAGTTTGCCAATGAACATCTGAATGATTCAGAGGAGAACTGGGTGAAAGTGTTGTGGTCAGATGAGACTAAAATGGAGCTCTTTGGCATCAACTCAGCTCGCCGTGTTTGGAGGAGGAGGAATTCTGCCTATGACCCCAAGAACACCATCCCCACCGTCAAACATGGAGGTGGAAACATTATGCTTTGGGGGTGTTTTTCTGCTAAGGGGACAGGACAACTTCACCACATCAAAGGGATGATGGACGGGGCCATGTACCGTCAAATCTTGGGTGAGAACCTCCTTCCCTCAAACAGGGCATTGAAAATGGGTCATGGATGGGTATTCCAGCATGACAATGACCCAAAACACACGGCCAAGGCAACAAAGGGAGTGGCTCAAGAAGAAGCACATTAAGGTCCTGGAGTGGCCTAGCCAGTCTCCAGACCTTAATCCCATAGAAAATCTGTGGAGGGAGCTGAAGGTTCGAGTTGCCAAACGTCAGCCTCGAAACCTTAATGACTTGGAGAAGATCCGCAAAGAGGAGTGGGACAAAATCCCTCCTGAGATGTGTGCAAACCTGGTGGCCAACTACAAGAAACGTCTGACCTCTGTGATTGCCAACAAGGGTTTTGCCACCAAGTACTAAGTCATGTTTTGCAGAGGGGTCAAATACTTATTTCCCTCATTAAAATGCAAATCAATTGAAAACATTTTTGACATGCGTTTTTCTGGATTATTTTGTTGTTATTCTGTCTCTCACTGTTCAAATAAACCTACCATTAAAATTATAGACTGATCACTTCTTTGTCAGTGGGCAAACATACAAAATCAGCAGGGGATCAAATACTTTTTTCCCTCACTGTACGTAAAATGTATGCATAAATGACTAAGTCATTTTGGATAAAAACGTCTTCTAAATGATATATTATGATTTATTATTGTTTATTTTTCACTAGAAACATTCCTTCTAAATCCATGAGGGAAAGTGAACAATTGCACACGTTAAGGAGAAGGGCAGATAATCAATGGGAAAAGAGGGGTACGTAACATCTTAGTTAGGGTAACATTTAAGTGTAGCGTAAAGTTTAGGAAAACTTAGTGTACCCGTAACAGTTTATGGGAAAAACATTTTAGTGTAATCTTTTTAACATTCTTAGTTTAGCGAAACCAAGTCTTAGTGTAGGTAAAGTCTTAGTGTGGTGTGACAGTTTTATTGTAGCGTAAAGTCTTAGTGTAGCAAAAACACCCTTAGTGAAACGTAAACAGTCTTAGTGAAGTTTTTAAAGTCTTGTGTAGCGTAAAAAGCAGTTTTCGTAAAACCCTTAGTGTAATGAACACCCTTTGTACCCGTAACAGTCTTTTTTACGAAACCAGTCTTGTGAACGTAAACGGGGTTTTTAGTGGGGGGTAACAGAACAGTCTTAGTGTAGGAACGTTTTAGTGTACTTTGCCCGTTTAGGGGAAAGCGAAACCCGCCCTTAGTGTGCGTAAAAAAAAGCCCTTAGTTAGTTTCCCCCCCTTTCTTAGTGTGGAAAAGTCTTATTGTACGAAAACAGCCCTTAGTTTTAGCAAAACCGTTTGGGGTAGGAAAAAGCCCTTTAGTGACAGTCTTAGTGTAGGTAAGTTTTAGTGTACCCGTAACAGTTCTTGTTTACCCCCGAAACAGTTTTTTCCCAACCTTTTGTGGCGAAACATTTAGTGTAGCTTAACCCATTCTTAGGGGAACACCCTTAGTGTAGGTAAATTTTTTAGTGTGCGTGACACCCTTAAAGTGTAGCTTAACCCCTTAGTGTACTTAACACCCTTAGTGACAAAGTCTTAGTGTATGTACATTCTTTAATTTTTTGGTTTTACCGTGACTTCCTTTATGTACTAACATCTTAGGGGTAGCTTTACGGGGTCTTAGTGACGTCCTTAGTGTATAACATTCTTAGTTTACGTAACAGTTTTAAAGTGTAGCTAACAGTCTTATTGTAGCGTAACAGTCCTTGGGGGGTGGGGCGTAAAAGTCTTGGGTGTAGCGAACAGTTTTAGTGTAGGGGAAAACCCTTATGAAAGCGAAACAGTCTTAGTGTAAAAGTCTTAGTTAGCGTCCCTTCTTAGGGGTTTAGCGAAACATTTTTTTAGTGTAGTGGTTTTAAATTGTCTTAGTGTAGCTTCCCGTTTTTGTGTAGCGTAACTTTTGGGGAGCGTAACGTCTTATTGTAGCGTAACAGCCCTTAGTAAAACAGTCTTGGGTGTAGTGAAAAAGTCTTAGTGTACAAAAACGTTTTTAGTTAGCGTAAAAATCTTAGTGTAGCGTAACGTTTTGTGTAGCTTAACGTTTAGTGACAAAGTTTTTTGTTAGTTTTAGTTTTAAAATGTGCGTGACAGTCTTAGTTTAGCGTAACCCTTTGAAACGTAAAAGCCCCTTAGTGTAGCGTAAAAAGTTTTAGTGTAAGCTTAATTTGGTAGGTGAACAGTCTTAGTGTGGGTTACCCGTCTTAGTGTACGTAACACCCTTAGTGTAGCGAAAAAAGTCTTAGTGTACGACATCTTGGGGGGTAACAGTCTTAGTGTAGTGGAATTTCTTAGTGTGGGCGTAAATTTTAGAAAGCAAACAGTCTTAGTGAAAGCTAACTTTCCCTTAGTGTAGGTAACAGTCTTAGTAAGCCCTTAGTGTGGTAACAGTCTTATGTAGCGTACAGTTTTTAAGTGACATCTTGTGTAGTTTTTAAGGGGTTCTTAGTGTAGGGGCCCCGCCCTTAGTGTAGCGTAACAGTCTTAGTTACGTAACGGGGTCTTAGTGTAGCTTTAACAGTTTTTAGTGCCGGTCCTTTTAGTTTTAGTTAAGTCTTGTGGCGAAACAGCCCTTAGTGTGGCGTAAATTCTTAGGGTGAAAAGTCTTAGTGTTCGGGACGCTTTTTTTAAAGTAACAGCCCTTGTGTAGGGAACTTTTTAAAGTGAAACCCGTAACGTCCTTGGTGGGAACAGTTTAGTTAGGTAAGTCTTGGGGTGCGTACAGTCTTAGTTTAGCGTAACAGTCTTGTTTTAGCTTAACGTCTTAGTGAAAGCGTAACGTTTTAAAGTGACGTCTTTAATGTAGTGAAAAGCCCTTAGTGTGGGCGTAACGTCTTAGGGGAAGGTAACAGCCCTTAGTGTAGTAAAAACATCTTATTTGTAGCGTAAAAGTTTTAAGTGTGGCAAAACGTCTTATTGAAAGCGTAAAAGTCTTAGGGGAGCGAACAGTCTTAGTGTAGCGTAACGTCTTATGTAGCGTAACGTCTTATTGTGGTAACAGTTTGGTGAGCGTAAAGTCTTAGGGGGTTACGTAACACCCTTAGTTTAGGAAAACATTTTTATTTTTAAAAGCGTAACAGTCTTGTGTACGTAACAGTCTTAGGGTAGCGTACATCTTAGTGAAAGCGAAACCCACCCTTAGGGGGGTAGCGTCCACCGGGGTTCCTTTAGGGGTTAGTGGGGGCAGTCTTAGTGAAAAGTCAAAGTGTACTTTGACGCCTTATTTTAGCGTGACAGTTTTAAAGGTGAAAGCTTGACAGCCCCCCCCCTTTTAGTGTAGCGAAACAGTCTTGGGTGTGGCGTAACAGTCTTAGGGGAGCGTCCCCGTCTTAGTGTAGCGAACAGTCTTAGTGTGGGCGTAACAGTTTTAGTGTACGAAACGCCCTTAAACAAAGTCTTTAGTGTACGTAACAGCCCTTAGTGAGCGAAAACCTTTAGTGAAAAGTCTTAGTGTGCTGACAGTTTTTAGTGTACGTAACGGGTTTTATTTGAAAGCTTAACTGTCTTAGTGTAGCGTAACGGTCTTATGTAGCGAAAACAGTTTTAAAGGGGTAGCGTAACAGTCTTAGTGGGCGAAAACAGCCCTTAGTGTAGTGAAAACAGCTTAGTGAAAGGTAACAGTCTTAGTGTACGTAACAGTTTTTATTTGTAGCGAAACAGTCTTAGTGTAGCGAAACGTCTTAGTGTAGGGGAACTTTTAAGTGTACGAAAAGTCTTATTGTAGTGTTACGGGCCCTTAAGGGTGCGGC